AGACTTAAGACGCGCATCTCTCCCCGGTGCGCGCGCCCCGACGCGCGCGCAGGAAGGGAGACTCCCCTCTCTGGCGGCCCGAACGACGGCACGTTCCAGCCAATCAGAACCACTCAGCCCCGTGGCAAAAAAGCGCTTGCAGCCTATCGGAGGCTGGCCGGGGCGGGCTCGGCGGCGCAGGCCGTGGGACTCCCGGCTTTTGCCGGGGTTGTCTCTGTTACGCGCCTGATTCTAGAGAGAGGTAGCTGCTTTCTGTGGCGGAGCAAGGCGGGGGCGGGGGAGAGAGAACCGAAAAATATGTCATGGTAAAAGGTCCCTTGTTGGTCAGTTTGGTAGCCTTAATATACCTTGGCGTAACTGTGAAATGTTGATAGGTGGTTTCCAGTTGTTCGTTCCACGTAGAGATGCAGAAGCAGATGCCTAAATAAAGATTGGGGAGGAAAACTATGCAGTCTTCCCAAAATGACCTTATTAGACCACAACTCCCATCAGACACCCACCCTCCATTGTTATGGCTGGGGATGATGAGAGCTGCATCAAGGTTGCAATAATAGATCTGTGTTAAGGAGATGGGTTGTGTGTAGCCCTCTGTGTGTTAAACTCTGTCCCATCAGCCTTAAGCGGTATGGCCAAAGTGAGCTTTCTCACAACCTTTGGAGGGCCACATATCTGCCACCCTGATGTAAGGCCAGCATCTGGTTTTGCATGTAGCCAGTCATTTGCCTACAGGAAGAATATGAATGAGTTTGCCCAACATGCTGGAGTAAAATGTGATCCTCATGCTTGTCATTCAGCGTGTAAAAGGCAACCCCACGCAGCAGAGTCAGTTTATGCTTCAACATGCTTTGGGAATCCATAGAATTGAGCTAATAAAAATAGACTATAGTTCAGTTAACCATGGGTTAGTATATTATATGACCACCGTCACTAAGAATTAAAGACAGTTGTCTTTCTATGCTGAATAAACGCTGCATAGAAATACAGATTGGACTCACACGACATAGCAAACCTTAAGGTGGTTTACCTACATTGTGCTAGTGTGTGTCCTGTAAATAGAGATACTGTATTAACTGCATCTAAGCATAAATTTCTACAAGGATAGAACATTTGTAATTAATCTGCATCTATTAAAGTTACTTAAGCCTCTGGCCAGCCGTTATCAGGTCTGATTGATTATGTGCTATCAAGTCATTCTTGACTCTAGCAATCACAGTACAGGGCTGAGGGATGTTGGGGGTTGGTATCTGTGAAAGTCACATTCCCTCAGAGGCTGCATGCTGGTGGGGAGTAATACCACCCTATATCTCTCCTTTTTCCGGCTCAGAAGGCTGCCAGGTCTAAACTGATTGTTGGGAGAGATCTTTTACAGAAGTCCTAGAGTTGCCCTAGTAGCACAGCCACCCCAGAGTTCACTCAGATCTGATGACTCCAAGAATCCCACTGAATCTCACATGATGGAAAGTCACAACCAGCCCCCCAATGCTTGGGTGTTGTCTCAAAATCCTCTTTAGAAGTCATTGCCAAATGGTAATTTTTAATGCTACAAAAGGGGTAAGTGGCCTAAGAGGGTAATTACAATGTATTGTATTGTATTTATTATTATTATTATTATTATTATTATTATTATTATTATTATTATTATTATTA